TCATCATATTCAGGGATGTGGAAAGAATTAGAGCTAGAATCTGAATCAGTTGAAGAATTTTCATTTTGAGACATTTTGTAAATTATGGGCACACTTTCAGGAAACAAAGATAAAATAGCTAATGTAGAGAAATTTGTGTGATGTTCATTGTAATGCAGATAGTATATATAGAATATATTTGAACAAAGAAAGAAGATAATTCTTTACCGACAAGCTATAAAGTGAGTGCATGTAATTATTTACCGACAAGCTATAAATTATATGTGAATAAAGTAAGTGCATGTGAATAAAGTGAATGCATGTGAAGAAAGTGAGTGCATGTGAATTGTCTGAGTGCATGTAATTATTAGTGAGTGCATGTGAATAAAGTGAGTGCATGTGAAGAAATTTTGGATCGTAGCTAACATTATTTCTGACAAGTCCATGTGAACAAGAGGTGTAAAAAGAGGGTAATAAAGATAGATGTTGACATATCATAAATAATTGCATCTGAATTGAAAGATACGTTACATTACACAAACTAATTTAAAAACATACATAAAAATACCCAAGCTAAAACACACAGTACATTCATTCTCCAAATACAATTGCTATAAGCTTGCGTTTTGTCTCCTCATCTGCTGGAGACAAATGTTCTTTTGCTAACAAGGTATTCAACATTTTTTCTTTCATCTTCATCCTTGAGGCCTGCAACTTTTCACGCTCTAATTCCATTTTAGCATTAGACACACTCTTCATTGCCTCCGTTTCGTTGTCCCTGGAAAGTCTCAATGCACGAATTTCTGCAACAAATTCATTAGAGAAATCAGATTGTGACATCTTACCTTTTCCTTTCTTTTTCGCCTTATCTCTACCAATAGGACGGGAAGGAGTGGAACATCCGGTACTTGGAGTTTCTTGATAGGAAGGCGTAGGATACTCTGCATCTTCGGAAGTCCTTGATCTTTTGGTGCTTCCACCACTTTCTTCGTCATTACCCTCTTCATCTTCAGGACGAAAACGAGTTTTATCCTGAAGCGGTATCAACTCCCACTTTGGATGTTTACACATAACTTCATTGAAGACAATCGAATCCTGAAACTTGCTACCACCTGCTTCATAAATTCTATGAGCTTCGTTCTCAACATCCTTGTCGGTCATTCCACTCCTTTTCCGAACACACGCTTCCTTGTAAGCAGCCACCCACTTGTTTGCATTTTCATTAAGCCGTTTCCAACGACCTTTCATTGATTCGATATTTCTTTCGTTCAGCTCATCCGGCTTTTCTGCTTGGTTTCGTGATACAGATTGTGCACACGAGCCCATAGCGAGACTCCTTTTTGATTTCTGCCACGTATGTTATCTTCGCTAACGAAGATCCACGATGACATAAGAGTTATATCTTCTTTCACACCCCAATTATTTTTGGTCCCCTTTAGATTTTTGTTAGGACGTTGAACATTTGCAAACAAATTGCGGGAAATTTTTTCTGATGTGGGCACATCTAGAGAGGTGTGAATTTGGCTAAGATTTGGAGAATTTAGATAATATTGAGAACTATGCTCATATTCGGAATTTGGAAATTGTTGAGAATTCAGATCTGGAGCAAAATTTGGATAATTTTCGGAGTTGGGTAAGTTGTCTGAGTTTGGATAGTTTTGGGAGTTGAAAGAATAATTTGGATAGTTTGGATCCATAGCCTCAAATGAAGAATAGAGAGAAAATATAGAAGAAGAAATGTGTGAAGAAAAGAGAGGTTGTATTTGGTTGTGAAATTGTATCAATATTATACTCTATTTATAGAGAAAAAAAAATATGAATTTTGATATAATTTTTATTTATTTTTTATTTAAAATTATTTACAATATTATCAATTTAAAAACATAACAAAAAAAAAACAACCAACCACAAGCTGCCAAGTGGCAGCTTGTGGTTCATTAAAAAACAGGTCGGTTCACGCACCTGGGTCATCAACCCTGCTCTTATTAAATTCAATTTTTACTTTCTTTTTTTTTTGTCTGTTTCTCACGCCACCGGGGGCGGTGGCGTGAATAAAGATAGTCTTAGGCTCAACCAGAGGCGAAACCAGAAAATTAGTTGAGATGGGGCAAAAGACATGACATATTGGGTTCACAACCAATATCGAACCGATAACATTTCGGTAACCGGTTCTTAGTTATCGTTACACATAAGTCGGTTCGGTTCGATTTATTTTCTCATCGGTTAGGTTCGGTTCTCGGTTTTTAGGGCAAAAAAAGAGAATTGAAGTCTTTTTATCTGGCCAATTTAATGATAATAATTAATATACAAAATTAATAGTAAAATAAATGAAGTGTTGATCTGTTAATTGACAATTGCGGACAAATTAGTCTGATGAATAACGTTTAAAAACAAAAAATCTGGGGGTGCAAAAATAAATTTAATAGGGGGCAAATTAAAATTTTTAATATTAACAATATAAAAAACTAAAATTTGAGGGGGGGCAATTGCCCCCCTACTAATGAATGTAAATTCGCCACTGGGCTCAACCCTTGTTCGAGTCATTTCGTAAAAGAGGTATATAGCTTCGCTTGCTTT